TTTTCCCATGCGAGAGGAGACCGTTTCGACATGGAGCTTATGTTAAAACACATGGGCTCCCTCCTCAGTGGCACCACTAACCCAAATGCCCCAATTCGACCCCTTCATGCATCCTTCCATGATTTCTTAATGGACAAATCATCCAGCGGAGAGTTTTTCGTCGACTTGTCAAAGGTGCAACATGACCTTGCATTCGCGTCACTTCGAGTGATGGAACACAGTCTTCACTTCAACATCTGTGATTTAAAATCGTCATATCTACCAGACTCCAGTTTGCAAGTACGAGTTCAAACACGCATCCTTCCACATCTGTCATATTCCTCTCGATTTTGGACTTCGCATGTACAAGACACAACCTTCGATGAGGAGCTTGCAAAAGAAGTAAAATCATTCTTTGACAACGAACAGGTCTTTTTCTGGCTAGAGTCACTGGCCCTGATCAATGCGCTGAGCGATGCAGTTCCCACCCTTCCACTCATTTCCCAGTGGCTAAAGGTGAGTATATTGCTGCAGAGTATCCGATCTAGTAACAATGCAAACACAGGGCCATTCGGAATTTGAAGATGTCTCGTCGACTGCTATGGACATACAGAAGTTCATTCAAGTCCTTGGCGGCATCATTTCGCGCAGCACACCGCATCTGTATGTATCAGCACTCCCTTTCCTACCTGCTGACACTCCTCTATTGCGAAAGCTTTGTGCACGATTTCCGGATATTCTTCATGTGGCATCTGGACGTGATAAGAACTGGCCAGCTGTTCAATGTGTGCTCAGGGGGGCCATTGGTCTGGTTCATTCGGTCTCATTTTCGATGGACGGCACCTGCATGGTAGCTTGTTCGAATGATCGCACCATTCAACTCTGGGATCTAGCAACAGGGAAACCAGTCGGCAAGCCCTTCTTGGGCCATACTGAACTGGTCACCTCAGTCTCATTCTCGCCCGATGGCACTCTAATTGCGTCCAGTTCGAAGGACAGCACTGTCTGGGTGTGGGATCGTGTGACAGGGAAACCAGTCAGCGAGCCCTTCTTGGGCCATACTGATCTGGTCACTTCAGTCTCGTTCTCGCACGACAACACTCTACTTGCAACCTCTTCGACTGACATGACCATCCACGTGTGGGATCGTGCGACAGGAAAAAGTCGGTGAGCCCTTCTTGGGCCATGCTGGACCGGTCACCTCAGTCTCGTTCTCGCACGACGGCACTCTACTTGCAACCTCTTCGAATGATGAGAGCATCCACGTGTGGGATTGTGTGACAGGAAAAACAGTCACTTTGAACTATCTTTGTTGTCAGATGCAATGAACCATCGTCGGCGACGAGATGGCCTAGTCCACACGGTACTTTCCTCAAACTCATCTGTCTTTTTGTTCTCTTCTTGATCATCATCACCAAAATTCCACAACCTAGATATGGGAAGATAAGGTCATATCATGAGTCGGAATGTACCAGCAGCTCCAGAGCACCGAAACAAAGTCTTATATAGGAACTCATTTTTCAGCACTGGTCAATCATGATGACAATTTTCCGTCATATGTGAGATCATTTGATGGATGAAAAGCCGCATGCTGTAGACCTTAGCACCTGCTAGTACTTGCTGGCACCTTATCACACCTCACCAGACTGTTCGTGTTGTATAAGCACATATCATTGCAGTACCGTACAAGCATGTAGTAGACGACAAATTTGAGCATGGAAACATGTGAAATACAGGTATGTGTGATGCAACATGAAATGACCAGTGCAATTGCGAGTGAGAGTCTGTCCAGTAGTCGTGCATCATAACGAAAAATGCTGAGTCCGTTTGAAGCTGTGATGCGATGATAGCAAGGAAACAGGAATATGATGCCGCAGTGCTAAAAACCACATAGTCAGTCAAATAACCCAAGGGACATCAAGCACGTACTAAAGTCTATTCCGGCCCTTGCGTTTCCTCTTGCTGTGGTGGTGGTGGTGGTGGTGGTAGCCTTGCCCTTGCCCTTCTTGGTGCATCGATGGGGCAGGGACATCTGAATCATTTTCTGTCAGTGAGCTCTCATCATTGGACTCCATCACATTAGTCCTGCCACGCTTCTTAGATGTTCGGGTGCCAGTGCCTGAGCCAGATGGGATGGGAGCCAAAGGGAGGGTGTGAGGCAGTGCATCGCTAGTGCCTGAACCCGATGGGATGGGTGCCAAAGGGAGGGTGCGAGGTGGAGCTCAGCATCCACATTCGGAGTCACCACTGTGCTGAGAAGTTGGTATGATAGGACGTGGCTTGGGGATGGCTTTTGCTGGACAGGTGCAGGTTCTTCAATGGGAGGCGGCGTAGTGGCAGGAGTCGAAGTCATATTGATCACAGATGTATCAGAGCCAGGATCGGAAGGTAGGGTACTACCTTGCGCGTCTGAAGATACGGACTGAAATAGACATTAGCAAAATATCATTTATTAAAAATAACGAACCTTAAGTCGCGCTTCACAACTTGCAAACTGTTTTTGCATGCTGATCAAATCTTCTTCTTCTCGTTGTCATCATCACTAACGTCAAAGACTGGTATACCTGCCTTGTCGCCAAACAACCTTTGCGAGAACTCAGCAACGTGTGACAGATCAATACAAATAATACATACATATTCCACCACTCAAGTAATGAATCCGCCCATGTCTGATCGAATGGCTCTTGGATGGCTTGGATGATTCGGTAGTAGGCCTCATGATAGTCGTATTTACCATCCATAGCTTGCTATTTCATCAGTCAACCACAAATTTCATCACAGACGTCAACATTTTCGACAGTTCCCACAGTGCTCACAGCACTCACAGCAAACTTTCTAGATCTAAGCGTATCTAGGCGAAAAACACATGGCCCTACGCGGCGTAAGCGCAAACCACGCGAGTGGTGACCTGCACCAAACTGGTTCGGTGCATGGATGACTAACACTCTCCTATGAGCCCTATACCCTATGAAATCATTTTCTCTATGACTGAAGTCAGACTGAGGCTAAGGGAATATTTTTCGCTTTTTTCACTTTTACGAGTTTGTACGCGAGCGGACTGAATATTTTTGTACATTTAATTCTGCGATGAGTTTTGCTTAGTCAGCCATGAGATGACTCAGAAGATTCTCACACATATCAGGTGACTGTGAAAAATATGTTTGCGTAAGGTTACCCTGTGGGAAAGCTTACAAATCACTAAACGCGCCTATGTCATTATGCCCAATAATTCATCAGCCACAGATTTCACAAACATATGTACACAATATGTAATCATTTCTCACTCTTGTCTAGCTGAGTCATCAAGGGTCACCTGACCCATGGCCATACACAGCTCTTGCTGACTCATCATTATACCAACTAGAGTTATGAATATTTACTTTTGACCAAAGATACCGTGTGACTTGGTACTATCGAACTAAAGTTACAACTTTAAGTACGAGAAACTAGTAGTATAGCCACCAAATTTGTCTATATAAGGACCAGCTTTTTGCCCAATAAAACAAGCAGTTCCCCACTGTTTTTACTCTCAGAATAAAATTGTGAGTGAAGTGTGAATCGCAACCAGCAAGTGCAGTTCAAGGTTGGAGCTCACTGTGCTCAACAACCAGCACAATTTCGAGCTCATTGTGTGAACATCTAGCACATACCTTGAGCTCACTGTGTCTGACGACTAGCAAGACTAGTTTTCTTTTTCTGTTTTCTCTGATTGTCTGTCTGAATTTCTCTTTTTCTTTTTGTGTCTTTGTCTGTGTCTCTGTCTGTGAATCTGAGTGTCTGTGTGTTTGTTTGTTTCTTTTCTCTCTGTCTCTGTCTTTCTCTCTGATTGTCTGTGATTTTCTTTTTTTTTCTTTCTCTCTGTCTCTCTGAGAACGTGTCTGAGATTTGTGACTGAAGCTCGTGTTTTTTTTTTGCTCTCTCTCTCTCTCTCTCTTTTCTCTGTCTCTGTCTCTGTCTCTTTCTCTTTCTCT